GAGAATCAAGATCCGTCATTATCTCAATTTTTTTTCATTTTTGGAAAAAAATAATATTTTTTATTATTAGGTAATTTCTTTTCGAATTTTCTTAAGATTTCGCTATTTAAACGTTGTAAGCCCTTTGAGCCAATTCAATTTTGAATGAAATAAAGTTTTTCCTTGAATTTTTTCATGATTGAAATTTTTATTGTGAGATTTTTGTATTTTCTATAATCTTCAATCTTCCCCTGTATCAAGGGCATATCACGTGGCTTAGCCATTTTACATAATTATTAATGACGTCCTTTATCACCTTCCTCTCTTCAAATCATTCACTGTTTTTTTTGCTTTGTCCTCTGCTGCTTAACTTTCTCTCTCATGGAATCCCATTCTCTGAGGATATTATTATCTCTTACAGTAATCTTATCACTTTTTATTCCAAATCCAGTATATGCTAAAACCATTTGTGAGTTTCCAGCTATATTCAACTTCGGCGACTCGAATTCTGATACCGGTGGCTTGTCCGCGGCATTCGGCCAGGCTTGGCCGCCCAATGGAGAGTCATACTTCCATGGACCGGCAGGGCGGTACTGTGACGGCAGGCTGGTCATTGATTTTATTGGTAAGAACTAAGAAGGCCTTTTTTCTTTTGCTTGCATATTCATTTTTACAAAAAAGGTCGAATATTTTACCGTTGGAAGTTCTTACAAATGGTAATCTGTGCTGTGCATGTTTGGCTAAGCTTATAAGCAACTTTTCGCCATCTTGTGTACTTACTGCTTAAATAAGCCAATAACATACTAAAAATTAAGCCAATTAGTTTGAAGTGGACAATTTTTTAGCATTTCTATCTCAATTATATTCAGTTCTTAAATGCTGACACTCTACTGATGTTGTCATTTCAGCTGAGAGCTTAAGACTACCATATTTGAACGCTTTCCTTGATGCATTAGGCTCAAATTTCAGCCATGGTGCCAATTTCGCGACTGCCGGTTCAACCATTAGACCCCAAAACACGACTTTACAGCAGAGCGGTTTTAGTCCCATTTCATTAAACGTACAATATTATCAATTCAATGATTTTCAACATAGATCTCAGATTATCCGAAGTAAAGGTATTACCGCGATTTTTCGGTTAATTAATTTACTCAAATGTCTACTTTCTTAAGCAATCTTGACAAAACACGTCAGAGGGTAGACCAAAACTAACATGACACGAAGTAGTAATCGAAATTGTTCTCTTTGTGTCATTATGAAGGGGGAGTTTTCAAGGAATTATTGCCAAAGGATGTCGATTTTTCACGTGCCTTGTACACATTTGATATTGGCCAAAATGATTTATCTGCTGGTTATTTCCTCAACATGAGCACTGATCAAGTTAGAGCATATGTTCCTGATGTACTAGATCAATTCAAAACCGTTATTAAGGTAAAGATACTGTAACATTCTGAATACGACTCTTGTCACATCTGTTTAATACGCACGCGTTAGTAGTTTATTAATGATCAAGCAGTATTTTTTTTTTCTTTGTTTCGTGCAGTATATACATGATCATGGAGGTAGGTCGTTTTGGATACACAACACCGGACCTGTTGGTTGTCTACCGTATATTCTGGACCGTCTTCCAATCACTGCCGGACAAGTCGATAAGGCTGGATGTGCGGCCCCTTTTAACGAGGTGGCTCAATATTTCAACCGCGAGTTGAAGAAGGCTGTGATTCGTCTTCGAAAGGATTTTCCATTAGCAGCCTTCACTTACGTTGATGTCTATTCAGTCAAGTACGAGCTCATCAGTCAAGCAAAGAAGTATGGTGAGTATTTCTTTATAGGGGTAACAAAAATTGTTAGTCACTGAACATTCATTTCGATTTTAGTTTAGGCATTTTGCATACTAGATTGACAAAGAAGGCATAGTGACCATGCTCTAAATGTTTACAGGTTTCGTCCACCCTCTACGAGCTTGTTGTGGGCATGGAGGGAGATACAACTACAATGTAAATCATGGTTGTGGAAGCAAAATGGAAGTGAATGGGAAAGAAATAATGGTGGGAAAATCATGCAAGGATCCATCAGTTACGATAAATTGGGATGGAGTACACTATACTCAGGCTGCAAACAAATGGATTTTTGATCAAATTGTGAATGGCTCATTTTCAGATCCACCAATTCCCTTGAAGATGGCTTGCTACAGGCAATAATGAGCTAATGCAAATTCTTGTTTTTATGTTAAGGCAGTGCATTTTTTGAACTGCTAAATAAGAGGAATGCAGCTTTTGAAATTTGTTTGGCTTCATCCTTGAATTAGTCTATGATTTTCAAGAATTAGAATGTATTCTGACATTAACTTTGTTTGCAATAATTTGGTGTTTTGATTTAAGACATGAATTGGAGTTTATGATCTATTTATTTTTGTAAAGAATTGCAAGTCTGGATTCATCTTCTAAAGGAATGGTTTTCTCATAAGACGTATGCTAATCTTCGTCCCAAAGTTGATGGCCTTGGGAGAATTGCACTTACGGTTCCAAACCTTTCTTTTTATCACAGATTTTATCTGAACCTTTCATTTTTGTCAACCACAATTCCAAACATTTTATTTTGTTGCAGCACAAGGACAAATATCAATTTGACCACTAGTTAACCCCAAAAAATAATTTTGACCACTTATTAGCTATTTCAATAAGGGTAAATTCATATTTTATACATAACATGAGTTAAAAATAAATTTAAAAAAAAAAAAAACAATCAAAACCAAAAAATCGACCCCCCGTCGCCACCGCCCTCCCACACTGCAAACCGCCACCAAGGCCATCACCCCACTATCCATTCCACAATTCTTCATCTCTGCTACTTCTGTGTGCGTGTTTGTGGGTGAAAATTGTAGCTCTAACTCACCGTGAGGGGTGGGAGTGTGATTTTAAATTTTTAATTTTCTGTAAATCTTTGAGTCACCGGAGCGATCGCTGGAATAGTCGTCGGAGCGGCCAACGAACCGCCGGAGCAGTCGCCGGAGTGATCGTTGGAGAGGCCGCCGAGTGATCGTCGGATCTGATGGCCGCCTTCAGTGGAGAGGTGGAGGGAAGGTGGTGTAGTAGGGTGATAGGTGGTATGGATAGAAATAATTAATGCATATTATATTATATTTTAATATTTAATAAATTTATTTACCCACCTGATTTTTGAAATATTTTAATGAGTTTGTTATTTATGAAACATAATCTTTAAAACTAGAAATTATGTATTATTCCCATTTTTTATATCATTCTTTACATTATGCCACATGACAATATCACATTAGACACGTTTAGAAGAAACACACTTTCATGCCAACAATTTTTTTGAAAACAATGGAGTTTCAAAAATAATGTCAAACTTTGATGGTACCTTTAGCGTTGTTCATGTTTGAACTAGTCAGTCAAAAATATATTTTTTAATTTTTTTAAAGTTGAAAAATTGAAAGAGACCATTTTGCCCTTCATGGTCAAAAGATGTCAAATTTTTAATTTTTGGGTCAACTAACAATCAAATTGATGAAATGCATCTATTTGTCCTTTTGTTGATGAAATGAAAAGTTTAGAACTGTGGGTGGTACAAATGAAAAATTTGGAAAAGTTTGCGACAAAATGAAATGTTGGGACCGTGATTGCAATTCTCCCCTTTTTTTAATTTGTGATGTTCAACAAATTGGCAAAAAATATAAAAAAATGGTGCTGCCTCATAAGTATACAAAAAAGTTGTCAATGTTAAGAAATAAACAATCCTATACGTGTGTTAGGTTGAGATAAATGGGTTAAGAATGTTGTTAGCTACTCAACTTATACTGAAGTTTATGTAGTCATTGAACTTTATTTTTTCTTAGTGGCTATTGAAGTGTATATTCAATTTGGTCGCTTAAATATTATGCTTTAGTATTTTTAACGATGATGTGACATAAGTTCAGCTCGAGGTATTCTCTTCAGACAAGTGAACTAATTTTCACCAAGTGACTAAAAGAAACAACGGAAAAAGAAAAAAATTTACAATTTTATAAGGAGATAAGTTAACTTTAATGACTAATTCAATTTTTTCCAGAAAAAAGGACAATCTCCTAAGGGCAGCAATGGACTGATCAGTTTCACTTGAGACAAATTGCAAATGTCAAGAAACCTCCGGGGTGGGCGCCGCCAATTGTTACGGCGGCGCTGCCACAGCCCACTCCTAGGGCCAGGGGTTCAATATTCTGTTAATATGGTTACAACTTACCAGGCCTACACCTTATCCTCTCCATTGATGTGAATGTGACCTTGATTCTTTGCGAATTGAATACTTTGCAGAGGCTTATACCTTGGCACGTACCTCACGTGAAGATCATAATCTACTTTTCATCAAAATCTGAACGTTATGGTTTGTTAAAAGGGCCATAGGTAAACTTGAATCATGACCATTTTTTATATGATTTTGAACAAAATAATGTTATGCCCTTGTTCGACACTCATTTTGTTTGAAAAATAATTTTTGAAATAATGATTAATAGAAGATTGTGTGGTTAAAAAGTAAGAAATTTTTTTGAGTTTATGTATAATAATATTTTATTAATATAATGTGTGATTGAAATAAAAAAAGAGAAATATAATGCGAAAAAATGGGTGCCAAATAATACTCCGTAGAACAAATGATATTTAACATCAGTCTACATGACATTACAATGTCATGTGATGACGAATCCATTTAAATTTATGGATTTGAAACCTTTTTAATTGGACATAACACTATAAAATATCAAACAACATTTATGATTTATGTATCACTACTCTATTTATTCACGCTAGGGATGATCATCGTGATATATAACATTAGAGGACAAGTTTGAGTCATATATCCAAAAATTTATTTTATTTATCATTTCATACCATATAATGCATCACATCATGCAGGAGGAAATAAATAACATCATTCACTGTGCAAGGAAGTTCACTGAATTAATCTAGTTGTACAAACTTTGTTTACAAACTAAGTGTTTGCAAGATCTAGGCCATCGATTTCCATTGATTTAAAAAATTATTTTTGAAGTGATTGGTCTAAATGTTGTCAACATATAACTTGTAATCGAGTTTGTCAACCTAATCTGTAACATAGCATGATTCGTTGACCCCAAACAAATAGTGCTTGACATGGATTTCCAAACCGAATGGACTGTATAAGTCAGGACTATGCAAGTTCGATGAGTTATAACTTTTGCGGAAACAATTCTTCTACCTCATTTGGTATCTAGCTCGATACCTAAAGGTCCGTATTCGATTCTCCAATAAAGGCGAGAATGATAAGGAGCACGTTTGAACATGACAGTGAGCTTATTGCGTAAGGGGTTGGACTTCAAACGCATATTGTTTGGGTTAGATTAAGAGGGTGTTTGGTGTGTATTAAAATTAGTTTTTTAATAGATTGTGATAGAAATTTTTGCAATATGTCGTTGAAAAGTTGTTGAACTCATGAAAGATATGATTGATATTGATTGTTTGATTTTAATTTTAATTTAAATTTGATTTTAATTCGTACCTAACAAGACTTTAGTGTCGGCTATAAATTCTGGAAAAAGGTGTATGCAACTTTCATATCATCAAGTCTTCCACGAGCAGTTGGGACCCCTTCAAAAAGTGTGTATAGTAGCCTTGTTTTTTCTCATGATTTGACAGGAAAAGCAAATCAAAATATTTCCCTCATTACCCCAACTTTTGATTTAAAAAAATGTATTTTTTGATAGTATTTTATTGGAGATTGTGTAGATAAAAAATAAGGAAATTTTTTCGATTTACGTATAATATTATTTCATTGGAGAATGCGTGATTGAAAATGAATTTTGAAAAAAAGAATTTTTGAAAAATTGGAAGTCAAACATGGTGATTAATGAGATTCTACTGATTTTGGATATCACCAGAAATATTACATAAAGTGATGGATAGTGGTGGGACGTTAATGGAGTAGATTATCATGCCCGTGATTTAAACAGAAAAACTTTTATTTTGAGATTTATTTCGTCAAACTTTCTGTCTTGATTCAATTTAAAGTGGTGATCATCACTTTTTCTTATCTTCTATTTAAAGATAAGGCAGATTTTACGTTCTTAGGAGTTGCAGACCCCCTCCTAAAGGTAACAATCCAGATTTTTTTGATTATATTATTTCTCGGAAAATGTGCAGTCTTATCTCACGTCAGTCCCTATGTTTTGTGTCCGAACGCAGCCAAACACGAAGGATACTACTCTACATTCTTTGCGTTATCCACTCGATCGATAACTATATTTTGGATTTTATGGAGCCTTGATCATTTATCTTCAACTGTGATTTTTTTATTGCTAAAAATAGGAATCTGAGGGTACCTTGTGATATCTCTATTGTAAATTTCTTCTCGATTTTAGTAAAATTTATCTCGGTCAGTGTATGTAGCTATTCATCGAGGGTGAGGGTGAACCATTATAAATATTTTATCGTTTTCTGATTTCTTTTTTCGTTTATGTTGTTCACAGAGTTAGGGATTCGAGCTTAATCCCTAATGCTAATGTTTAACAATTTCAGGACAGAATGGAGACAGAAACTACAGTCAACAAAGATTTGAAGGTCGAAATTACCTCGTACGCCGAGGTTGTCTCCCCAACATCAGGGTCGACCATGAATACAGGAGGGCTAGCGAGGCAAGGAAGTGTGACAAAGAACAATTGTCTGTGCTCTCCCACCACTCATGCAGGTTCGTTCCGTTGCAGGCTTCATCGCTCTCCAAGCCTCCAACGAACTAAAAGCATCGACTCAACATCCCTTCGGGATTCACAATCCCAAGCTAATCCAACTACTGAAATGCACAGGAAAAATAGTACAGTGGAGGTTGGGCATGTTCCATAAGGTGGGTTGAACTCTACTAGACAATGTTACGTGGAAAAATAAGTTAAAATCTCGTATGATATACTGTTCAATATTATGTCCAAAACACTCTCTAAATGTTTAAGACCCGATGTTATGTATATTGTGTTTGCTATTCTGCTACAAATATTATGTTCAGTTTGTATATTGAAGACCTTATATGAATCTTCTGCTCCACCTATTTGAGCCCTTTGATTGATATAATGTCTAAGGCAAGCTTTATCAATAAATCACAATGAAAGTTCCTATATTTTTTCTTGTTTATTAGCTTCTTTTACCGCGTCATTTTACGTCTATAAAAGGTGCCTGAGCGTTAGGTATGTAAAGAATACATTTGTAAACACGATAGAGAATTCGTTGACAGTACACTTTTCCTCCCGCATTTAGTTTGCACGATGAGAGGTTCGTCCAAGAAATTTCTCTCGGTGTAAAAAGTTTCATTTTCCGTGTTTTTATTAACATAGGTTACACAAATAATTCACAGAGGATTAGTCTATGCTAAAAGATTACAAAGAGCTTTGCAAGAATTAGATAAGGAAAAAAGGAAAGCCAGAGCCTACTGAAACTAAACAAAGTTTCTCAGTTCTAATGACTTGGAGTTCTGTAACTTCTGTTAATAGAGCATAGCCTACGGAACATACTTTTAGGTCTGTTGGGAAGCGTACACAAAGTCTTGGCCTTTGAAGATTTTTCGTCTCCATTTTCATCTAAGTCCTCGTTTTCTACCAACTTCGGTTTTAGGGTGGTCGAGACCTTGGATTTTGGTGATTTGAGTCCCGAGACACTCAATTGTTCTTCTGCTGCCGTTGTTGCATTAGTACTAAATGATGCTGTAGGCTTTCCCGGATTGTTATGAGCCGATAAAAGTGCTTTGATATTGCTTGGAAGCTCGGTTATGTGGCCACCAGCAGTCGCAGCTCGTGCTTGCTCACAGAAAAGAACTTGCACTACTACCCTCAGAGGGAGCATCTCATTTCGTGCAGCATGCATGCAAACTTCCACAGATAACCTTTTGCAGTCTAATATTCGACATAAGCGCTTTCTTTCACTCTTGTTGAGTTCGGGATGTCCCTGCACCACCATCGTTGATTTCACATTATTGTACATACTCAAAGCGGGATAAATTTTAGATAAGAAAGTGCAAATAAAACATTATATATTCAATCCATATTTGGCCATTTGACAAGGCTTTTGTAAAGTTAAAAGTTGCGTCTGTGACTAGAAAACAAATTTTGGCAATTTGAATAATCTTCTAAAAGTGATTTGTTTGATTAAGAGAGCTTGTAGAGGAGGCTGACTTAGTGTGGCTTCCTCGGGAAGTTATTCCAAGAAAAGTAGTAGCAGAAGTTATTCCAAACAGACCCTCAGTCATTCAAGAATTGAGAGAAGTGTTGTTAGTTTACCTTGAGGTATGTATCAATAGCTCTGTAAAGGTCATCGTGTGTGAGCCTTGCGAAATCTGGAACTGCTTCTGCAATTGCAAGAAAGTTTGATAGAGGCAAATTTACGTCTCGGGCTATTTCTTGAAGATATCCATCAACGAGCTTTGCCACCTTGAGTTTGGAACTATGTGATGCAGAAGATGATCTCCGGCTCTCTTGAAAATTGAAGTCAACATTTTCTGCCGAACGAGACCTTAGCCTTTCAAAATTCCTTCGGGTTCTAGGAGGACTTGTAGGGGGACTCTGCCCTTGTAACATGAACTGCTCTAATATTGTCCTGACTACATCGACATCATATATTGTGTCACTCGTGTGTGATAAAGAGGGAATCAACAAATCATTAACAGTGGCATCCTCCAATTGAATTCCAACTCTTCTTGCCAATTCCATCTTTGTAGAGGAAGAAGCTTTTACTATGTTAACTGCCTTCAATAATTTCAAAAGAAAACTACTCGAAACTGCACCCTTCTCCGCTGGTAATAGGCTAATAATTGATTCTAATAGCAGCTTATGTTTTGAAGTTATCACCTGAGTAGAATCCAACTCGTGATCAGATTCTATTTCTTTCTCGATGTTCATGTATTTCGATAGGTTTGGTAGCCAACGGGATGCATAAATACGTAACGCATCACCAATCAGATTACCGGGGACTTTTCCCCCGGATTTGATGGCTATCATTGTTCTCCAATAAAGATCTATGCCGAATTCTGCTATATCTTCAGCCCACCAGCCTTTCGTAGTAGGTTTATGTATCAAAATCTCTGATCCATTACATGATATATCATCTCGACCCCTTCTCGTGTAACTACGTGACAAACTCACCTTTGAGGGGTGTGCAAGAACTTTAGAAGCTATAGCATCAATGCATCTGCTCGTTATTCCAAGATCCTCGGCCCATATACCAAAGGCTTTCGTGCTCTGTAACGTTATAATCGAGTCGCTCCACCCGTGAAGTACACAAGAATTGAAGAACGCTTCGAGTTTGTATATTAGATTTCCCTTCTCAACATCCTCAGTCATTTGAAGGTATTCTGCTGCACATCGAACCGATACAATGTTGTAGGCACTAAGAGTGATCGTAATGCCATAGCAGAATTTAGCGCACAATTCAAAAGCCTCAACCCCTCCTGGAAAATCAGGGATTTGGACAGTTTGATGCTGTGAAGTTTTGGGGATTTCGGAACATAACCTCTGCAGCCGCAAACACTTGGACAGCAGGGGAAACTGTGTTATCGAAAAACTTAGACAATCAAATTCTTGAACAACGAAGAATTATATTTTCCATATGAATTGCAATTTCTATTCATAAATTTTGTCCCTAATTTGACAGATTACACACAAAATAGTTAGAAATTTACCTTGTGAAGTAAATATCGGTTTCCTTTCACTTGAACTATTAGATCACTAGAAACCTCTGATGACACAGACCTGCAATAATACAAAATCTTGGTCTCCAAAGGTCTAATTCTTAATTTCACGAGCAATAATAAACAGAAAAGCTATCAGAAAAACGAACTAAGTACACGGGCTTTACAATGATTTACTTCCAATGTGGAAGATACGTCCATTCGTCACTGCGAGTTTTCACTATAACGAAGAAGCCCCTCACACAAAAACGCGAACCCTATAGAAACTCTTAATATATATAGTAGGAATATCAGGTCGATCCGCAACCAAAGGGAAAGTGTCCAACATCTTTTTGATCACATACACAAAATATTCTCACCATATATTTAAAGTTTCTAGAAAAGAAGTAGAAATAAAGCAAGAAAATTACCTGACAGCCTCAGTAGTGTAGAAAGTATCAGGTCTAGATCCAAGTTTCATGAACTTCATTTCTCAACCTAGTTTTTTGTTTACTTAAACTCAGCTAATTACCAGAGGAACAGCAACATGGCAGATTCAGACAAAACACAACTTCTCGACAGTAAAAATTCTTGCTTTTTTGGACAATACAATCATCAAAATGTTCCCCCTCCAGCTGCAAGTGAAAATATATCGTCCGAGTGAGATCGAGCACCACCAACATTTCCTTTATTTATATCCCTAAACTCAATTACCCCCACCAACCTTTGAAAAAACTTGAAGCAGAAGATGTAAATAAGAACATAATTTTCTGGAACACAAAAAGATAGCCTAAAAAATATGGACACATAAATATGTCACTGAATTTAGGAAAGACAATAAAATATGACCAAAACCTGAAATTTTAAGGTTATCTTGTACTCTAAAATAACTGCCAATCATTCCCAGGGAATTCACAAACAACTGTTTTTGGTGAAGTCCTAGAGTGATAAGTTTTCTGGGCTTTGAAGCTTTTCTTGCAAGCGTGCAGGGAATGAGAGAAAAGAGACCTCCACTTCCTTATTTTGTGTCCCTCTCTCTCATCATTGCCCCAGCAAAAATTTACTGCACCATTCTTTAGACCAGTCAAACACCATTTTATACTCTTAACTTTGTACTCTGCACATTTATGTTTATCGTAATCGGTCTTAAGTACTAGTAAAAGATCAAATCTTATGACATGAATCTTCAGCAGTGAAATTTGGACGTAAAGTTGCTTGGAGTGTACCTCATTCGCAACCGGTAGTGTCTGAATAGTAAGCAAGGGTTCTCATGATCCAATAGACGAAGGCCGGATAACTAAGACACATGTAAATGTAAATATATGAATGTGTGTGTATTTTTGTATATGTATATAGTCACACACATATGAAGTTAAAGTGGAAAAGTATACAGTACAAATTGTTGTGGTTTATAATTACTTTGTGAAAAGAATATGGAAAAGCAATGAAAAACGTTGGAGACACAGATAAAAAAAAAAGGAGTGAAAGATTATGTATATCACTATTGAAAGATAAGCTTTAACTGTTCTTGGATATTGGCCTCAAGTTCAGATTATATAAAAAGGTTCCCTCGAAATTGCCCTTATATTTGTATAAAATAACAATATGATCGTTCATGCATTAATTCATGAGGACCATGCATTCAATACCCTCGTTTTCATCTTCGGAAAGCGTTCAAAAACGATTTAAATCGAAATGAGTGGTGTGCTTTTGAATCCTTCGAAAAGTATGAATAAAAAGTGATTTGAGTATTTATAAACACTTGATAAACATGAGCAAAATATAGGACCCACCATCTCTCGAATTATTTTAATAAGATCGAGGGACATATTTTTCATTTTTATCATTTCAAAGAAATATATGTATTTTAGGGAAAATTCATAAATTAATGACAATAGAATAGTATGGATAGTATTTTATCAAATTATATTTTGCATCTTAAAGACATATTATAATGATTCGGACCTTGATACTATTGAGCAGTGTTTTAAAAAGTATAAAGCGTGGTTAGACGTGAAGACGAAACGAGTTTAAACGAACCTAGACAAGGCTTAAGCATAAAAAAATGTTTTCTTATTTTTAATATTATTTTAAATTTTTAATCATATTAAAAATCATTTAATAATTAAAATAATACAATTCAAATATCTAAAATTATACAATACTATATTTACTTAATAATTCCTATCAATTATACAATTTTCAAGTTTTCGAAATACAAAAATTAAAATATTTTTCATAATTTCAATTTTCAACTAAACAACTCATATTTAATAGATTTATAGGAACTTCATACATGCTTTTAGAGTTTGCAACAAAAAAACTAGCCTCAAAATCATAATAATATAATGTAGATAGCACCATAACTTAAATCTTAATTAATTATTTAGATGAAGTTATTTTTAACTTTTGTAAAAATCAAATCTTTTGAAAACTTGAAATTAAAGTCAAATGAAAAGTTTTTTTTTAAAATGAAAAAATTAATAAACTAAAGTCAAATAAAAGAATTTTTTAAAAAAGGAAAAAAAAAGAACTAATAAAGCGTGTCTAGGGAAGACGAAAGAGATGAAGGAAAAAATTCAACCGTTCAGAAATTGGAAAAAAAAAGCGTCTAAAGGCAAAGCAAGGCTTCTTGCCCAAACTTCGAGCCTATGCTAGTTTTTTATAACACTGCTATTGAGTCTTAAAGTTCAATTTTAAAAGATCGGTATCATTAAAAGGTGAAGCTAGAACCCTTACATATTGATTGTTGTTTTCGTATTCGTAAGAGAATATTGAGGACAAAGAAAGTTGGCACTCGTAATTGAGTTTGATTCAAGTTTGTATACTTAGAGTGAGTAGGTTATCAATACGTTTTTTCCCTTGCGAGTGGAATCACCGGTTCCAAATCAAGTCATGTGAATCCCCTACAAGCAATGTGAGGTTTTACCCTTAATATGCACTTTGTGATAATGTTCTTTTAAGAACATTAATTTTGAAACTCACTCGTTCGTTTTGAGCTTTTTTGATAGATCAAAATACTCATTTGAACCTTAGGGATCAAATACTATTTTTCGACTTTGAACGAATGTCAATACATTCCCAATTTACAATATCGAGTTCTATTGAATTGTGCATAAAAACTAACCATACAATACAATATCTAGTCCATTGCACCATTTACATTCGAAGGATACCATTTTAACATATTGATAATCGTTCTCTCTATCTAAAAGGGGTACAACCTATAAGGTGGAATATGGTCAAATCTAATATTTTTTTCTTTATCCTTTAATTATATATTGTGCCAAACTTTCTTTAGCATAATTATTTCCAGATTGAGTAAAACATAATTTTTTTTTTTTGGGTGTGGTAAGTTTACTTATTAATGATTGCAACAAGCTTGTAAGGTATGAATAAGTCTTTGATTTTGCATTAAGGTAGGTTACATAATATTAGTGGTAGTTGATCCATAGTCAAATGATAATATGTCCTTGTTGACAATCATATAATTTGACAACATCTAGGTTTATTCCTAGAGTGTTCATACACGTCGCGAAAGGATGATGAACTCGAACATTCTTTGTCCGTGTATAGCACAGAGTGAAGTTGACCAACTCGTTCAAGTATACGTTCCCGAGCTCAAAGATTGACCAATTCGTGAACAAAACTAGCATACCCAAATTTTGTAACATTGGATAATCCATTAACTCGAGATATACTAACTTTGGCAAGAGTCAAACGTTCCTCGAACAACTTGATGTTATGTCTAATCGAGTTAGGTACTTCACACCAATTTTTTTTCCCAAACTCAACGTATGGAAATTGTTAAGGGGCCATTTTCATACAGTCAACTTTGAAGCACGCCTTTTGAATATATTGTTATGATTGCAAGCTGAATGAGGTGAAAAAATAAAGAGTATCATGAATTTATTTTTTTGCAACTTGATTTACTACAATAAAGCCAATTCACTTGGATATGAGAGCACATTGAGCAATAGTTCTTGCCAATGATAGCATTAGGTTGCGTAAAGCTACCACCCATTATATCAATAATTTTCTTCTAATGGCAAACTAAAATGATTTGTATTAATCATAAGTAGAGATCTAAAGAGGGGCAATCATGGATGTGACAATATCCCAAATCTTCATTTGGACGTCAATGTTGTAACAACTTCCTATCTCTCATAAGTTGGATTTGAGGGTGATGCCTCGCGATTTATTGGAACCGTGCTATTAGAGAAGCCACGTGTTCTTGAGAGACCTCTACTATGGACGAGAGGATTTGAAGAGAGTTATTTTAAATAAAAAAGTACTCATTCTGTGTAGTCACCCCACTAGAAAGATGGATTATCGTGAATGTTAACTTTGAGGATGATTTCTCACAAGTTCTTGTAACGGCTGCAATAGAAAAACGCCATTTTTGAGAGTTTTTTTTTTTTTTT